TGAAACGTTTGATAATAATGAGTCCCTTGACTGTATAGAGGAAACCTATACTGAAGATAATTCAGAGAATAATATTTAGGGAAATTTAGTATCAATTGATGTAAAGCTGTTGACAAATTTAAGTGGAAATAATTTAATGAATAATGAAACTCATGGCAGATAGAGAACAGAAGCACTAAGTAGTTTCTTTGTCAGCTGATGTGATGTATATTTAATTGGTAATGTAAATTTCCATGTTTTTTTAATCAAATATATTTTTCTAAAAAAAAATAGAAAGAAATAGTACAGAAGGTTTTAAAAACCCTCATGAACAGCCAAAGCATGCAAAAGATCTTCAAGAGTGTTACTCTGTGGGCCAGTCCCTCTCTATTGTATACCCCTCCCCATTGCTATAAATTGGACATCATTTTGTTGCTTGGGAGTTGTTTTTATTCCTAGAAAAAATTTGAATACTGACATTCAGTATTTGGATTAATTTCCTCCACAATTGCTCTTTTATTAAAGCTGGATTGGTTTAGGCAAATTTTCTTTTTCTACTGAGAATTTTTGACCTGGTTCGAGAGGAAAATACCTGGAGAAGATAAAAAAATATGGAGCTTTCTGGGCTGTATAATGACATTGATTTGGTTGATCTTTATTAAGCTCAGGAGACGTCGATGGGCAGGCCACTTGGCAAGGATGGAGGATGACAATATACCCAAGAAGATTTTGATATATGAGCTTCATGGCAAGTGAACAGTTGTTTGGCATAATGTAAGATGAGTGGACTCAGTCTCTGGGGACGGATGAGTCCTTGGCATTTGAAGAGAGCTGGAGCAACAGACTTAGGCAATTGGTGAAGGCTTTTAGAGGTGGTCCAGACTCGGTGAATGGCCATAGCGCCCTCTATGATGATGATAGTTTATGCAATAAAAAACACTAGTCAGGGTTCCTACACACAACACGATATTTAGCATGGTGATATGATGTGACAGTTGTATTACTACCTTTTCCTTCATAAGTCATATATTACCCAGTAACCTTGTCATGAAAAAGGGGGTCTAAGTTGCATCAAATGGCAGTAGATTTCTTTTTTTTTTCTTGTGTTCTTCAATTGTCTCTTGTGTTGATGTACCTTGCTGGGTTTCATGTTCTCCGGAGCTAACAGGGGTCACTGGAGGTGTTTGACCAGGTTGATGATGCTTTTATTTGACAGGAGAAGAATGAGTTGTCGAGCCTAACGACCGAATTCTCTTAATAGACGCTCTACTAGACATGACCTGATAGAGAATTCTGCGAGCCGAGGTAGAAACACAATCTTTCGCATCAGCTGTCAAATCTTAATTTAGAGATACATAAAAAAATAAAATAAATTTTAAAAAGTAATTAACAGCTACGATGGAATTACAACAATAATTTTTCAGAATATATTCTATAGTGTACCTAATTTAATTAAATATCATTATAAACAACTCTTTAGAAGATACAAGTTTACAGACAACAGGAAACTTGGTATTTTAGTCTTTGTGCCAGAAACCCACAAGCGATAAGCCCAGATCCATTGCCATGCTATCAATTATTTGCAAGATTCTTATAATATCAAAAACCGACTATCCGTTATTTTATTTATCATGACACTTTAAGTAAACATTAAATACATTGATAATGAACATTTAAGACACTTTTTACATATAAGTGATCAACTCTTGGTTATCAGTCTTGATACCAAAAAACTTCTGACAATTCCTGGTGGCCTGAAATTTTATAAAGTCTTAAAATATAACAATATTTAGTACTAATATTTAACAATAAAATATTTTCTTGAAAATAGGTGTTTAGTTTATAAAAAGAATACCAATTCTTGTATTTTTTTTTTTTAATTTATTTATTACCAGATCGGCCTGGTGGGCCTTACATGGTTGTTGTAACAATTTGATGATTAAATTCTTGTATTAAATCACTTTCATTAGGGATATGACAAGGATCATGTGTCTTGTTTTTCCTCTGGAAAATCCTTATAAATACAACTTTGAACTTGACTTACCAACTGATTCAAAATTGTTTATCTTTAGAAATGATATAATACTTTAAGTCATGGGCAAAGGCTTTCAAAATTTTAAAATTTAGCATCAAAGAAATATTTGACTGGACAAACTCCTATAAATTAAAACTAAATATACAGAAATGCTAATACTTTATTTTCAGCAAGAAAATAATTTTAGGTGATTCAAAACTAATTATAGATATAGAGCAAATAACTGATACACCAACCTTTAACAGATGTCCTGTTCGACAGAAATCTACAATGGAACAGATATATTGAAAGTATTTACTTTAGGACATTACAAATCATAAATTCTTTGACCATTACTCCAAGGATTACATGTAGCCTATGAGCCGAGTATTTGAAGATAATCTATGAGGCAGCATTAATCCCTAAGATACTATACTCTGTGCCAGTCTCAGAAGTTTCTTGCAAAGGCTCATTGTCATCGAGATTACCAAGGCTTACAAAACAATCTCACAGTGTGTGTCATGTCTGGGATTGTTCTTATTGATATTAAAATTAATGAATTAGTCAAATTATAGCCAATCAAACCATTAAATAGTGACTTTAGAGAAATTATAAACAACTCAATAGAAAATCTACCTGAACCTATAAACTGGTTATACCTATTGATGCTTACTAAATTATATTCACAGTTGGCATAAACTAATAAAAATATCACAAATATATGCACAGATAGGGATTAAGAAGATAATAATGTAGGCTACCCATGGGTGCTGCGGGACATGAATGGTTGCCGGCCGATCTTCAGAGGCACTCACCACTTGTTAAAAATAAAAAAATCTTAAAAAATTAATTTTAGCCTATCAATAAAGCAAGTGTATTAGATAGATATTGAATGATATAGAATTCAAATATTACATAGTATAAAACAGCTTAAGAAATAAATGTAATTTTTTAGGGGGGAAGAGATGTTGTCATTGTCTGGGGATGCCTAATGTCTAAAGCACTGTAAAAGCCACAGAATACCTTCTTGACCTTGCAACTGACAAACATCAAGTTGTCTTCTTCCAAACAAATAACATGATCTTAATTCAATCAGTTCTAAATCCAAGCATACACGGCCAGTTCATCGAAACTATTAGAAGGAACTTTCATAAACTTAGCCTACTAAATTTCACAATAAAAATAAAATGGATAAAATGCCAATCTATTATCGAAGGAAATGAGATTGCTGATGCATTAGGTAAAGAGGCTGCACAAAGTGAACTGCTTTTGTCATATGGTAAAACTCCACTGCGTTTTATAAAATATGATATCAGGGTAAATTTATTTTAATTGGAATAAATGATGGTCGTCACTCAGATAAGTCATCTAGCTAACACAAATTTATTCCAAAAATAAACTAACAACAAGTTACTCAAATCTCCAAATTACAAACTAAAATAGATTTTAACTGAATGTAGACAGACCAAATCATACTTAAAAAGGTTCAATTTAATTAGTGACGGTTCTTGTTCTCTAGAAGAATCTATGACTATCATTTATTGAAGATTTATAGTTTTATTCTATCAACTTTGCCCTAAAAAAGTACTAATAAACCTCACTTTCAATCTTTTTTTTTTGTTATTTTCTGTGCCTTTGAATTTTATGATTTATAATGCTCGTTCAGCTGTCAACGATTTGATTAATAATTTTGCTCCATTCTTCTCTCCAGATGGCGTCAACTGAAACTCGTAGTTGGCCATTAATTGTAATTAAACATAAGTAAAATATTAATTACAATTCTTTACCATAGAGCAAAAAAGTTCATTATCCAAAACCTTGAATTTTAGGTGAACTGCATGAAAGAAATGCAGGGTAGAACATATATTAATTGTTTAAAGGATTAATGCTATTCAGTCATTAATTATTGAAACATACCAGTAATTGGCTTTTTAAAGAATTAATGTATATCCTGCACAGATTTGTTATGTGCAGTTCACTTAAATTTCAATGTTTTGTGTAATAGACTTCTATATTCCAAGGTACATAATTAGGAATAAGAAAGATATTGTGTATAGAAACAATAGTTAATTCAATCCTTTAAAGAAGTAGGAATTTGCTGCACGATAAGACTTCTGGGCACACATCATTCCCACTCAATTGTTCCTTGTTGGCCAACCAGTCTGTTACCAGCACATGTAGAAAACAGCTCAATTCTACATAAATGGTGTTAACACCAAAGTATTAATGGCAAACCATTTTTATCGTCTCATCGAATACAGCATATCTTTTCTTACAAGCCACCTTTAAATGCTTGAATTATAATTTATGTCAATTTACTGAGATCATCTGAGGTTTATCAAACCTGTTAATAAACTTAATGTTAGATTGAGAAAGACCTTAATGTTCCTTATGATTAAGAATTGGCCCAATCCAGATACCTATCCTTCCATAATAAACTCATCCAAACCCTCTTGTTTCTAACCTTGCTTCCTATTCGATCCCTGATAACCCTTCAAGGCGTCTGAAAAGAAGATGGTCTCGAGATCTCCTATTGTAAATACATTTTTTTTTTTTAGAGTGCTACCAGTGGGTAGTTTTTCAACAAGTGTTTTCATGTTTTTATTTTCTGTTATCACAGTTACTAAATGTATTCTTTCTTTATGCAGTTGTAACTATCATAAATAATAAAAGATTGAGTTCATCGGTGTTGAGAAATGAAAAGTAAGAATGCTATTAATTGAGCTATTCACCAATAAGGCATTATCAGTCTAATTGATTTTTTCATTTCAAGACATTTATTTTAGTAAAAATTGTATTATGTATGTTGTTTATCAAAATGAGAACATCTGTAATGGATTATGTGTTAAATAAGTGGGAATAATTGTGAACGAATAAACATGATGATTCATTTTTTAAATAGGTTAAAATATAAGAGTTAGTAAGACATGGTAGTATTTGTAACTTAGTTATTATGATCAGCTCAATGTGTTATTGCTATTGGTCACCTGAGATTTTTATTTTGCAGGTATATTTGGATGAAGTTATGGTAATTCCAATATTAGCATTATCATTTGAGTTGAAAAAATTCCTTGATCCATTCAACTATAAAAATGTCAGCAGGGGTAAGAATTTCTTATTTATACTAAAAGAATAATTAATAATAATAATCAGAACTTATAGAACAATTACTATATTTTTCTATAATTTTGTATAAAAAGAAGTTTTTTATAATTTAAGTTTAAAATAATTCTATGAATTATATATGTTACTAGATCATTAACAAATACTATCTCACTTTTTTTGATGATACTTGATCGAAACATATTTGACCCATGTTCGAGGGTTCTTGCGAATGCACCCTAAGAGCCGAAAAAACAACAATATTTTATAGAATTTTATTAATTTTTTATATTACTGTTTCCTGACTTTGCTCTGCATGGATTTATAAATTATTATATATCATTTGATTTTTTTTGTGTGTTTAAAATAGGAAAAAAATATTGCTAATTGTATTAGTCAAATTTTAATGTATTATAAATTACAAAAACTCAAAGACGCTTCAAGTAAAATTAGACCAGTAAATTTCTGTCATGAAAAAACAATTCAGATTCGTTTTTAGCGTCCACTTCAACTCTCAAATATGAGCTTGTTTTGACTCAATTAAATTTTTTTGACTCAATATTATGGGAGAATTTATTTTCATGCCGTTTACTAAAATATTCATAACCCTTCAGGATTTTCTCTTAAGTCATCCTTACAACCGTTAGAATGATAAATTATTGCTCTTAAAAACCTTATCAATAAACTTTAGATTTTACATATTCATAAGGAATAAATTAAGAAAAACTTTCCAAAAGTTTTTATTTTTTATCTCCAAGCCTAATATATTTTCGGGCGTCTAGATTGTGCTATTTAATAGGTTATATTGTAAAGCCCTAAATTCATGCTAATTTTTGTGTGGATAAATAGAGCCATGTCAAAATTATAATGATTTCTGGGATTTTCGAAAAAAAATCGAAGGCAGAAATTTTGAGCTACAAATTTTTATTTTTTGATTGGTATGGCAACTCGAATTTAAAGGTTTTTCGAGGTGCGAAATACAAATTTCAACTTTGTTTCCCAATAAAAAAATATTTGAACCCTCTTTACTAAGGTCAGTTCTAATTGTTTTAATATTGTCCTCAGACTATAGCTGTATGCCAAGTATATATTTTTTAATAAACAGGACGGGTATCAAAAGTAAGATTACATGTATGAGTACAATATTGAAACAATTAGTAGTTACCTACATAGTAAAGTTGGTTCAAATATTTTTTTGAATGAGAAACAAAGTTGATATTTGTATTTTGCACCTCGATAAACCCATAAATACAAATTTCCATACTAATGGAAAAATAAAAATATTTTGCTCAAAATTTCTGCCAAGCTGTGGAGCCTTAGATTTTTTATCGAAAATCACAGAAATTGTTATAACTTCGATATGGCTCTACTTATCCACACAAAAATTAGCATGAATTTTGGGCCCTATAATAAACACAAAATGACACAATCTAGACACCTGAAAATTGTATAGGCTTGGAGATAAAAATATAAAAACATTTGGAGTTTTTCTTTATTTATTCCTTATAAAGATGTAAAATTTAAAAGTAAATGTCGAAAAAGATTATTTAATGAGAAATTTGCCATTGCTTCTAAGCCATCAATTTTAAATATATATATTTGTACTAGTAGACAGCACAGTAACTTGAATGTAACTTTCTTTTCTAACCCTAAATTATTTATTCTCAATCGGTGATCTCTTTTAATTGTATTCATTTTGCAACAAAAATCTTCACAAACATAAATGCTTTAAAAAAATGTCATTATTTGTTTTGCATGGGTTCCTAATTGTGGAATTTTTTCTGAATTCATGTGAGCAGTGTCATTTGTCAATATATTAATTCCATTTTTACCTCATCTGCTGCTGTTTCCACATCTATATTAAATGGTGAAGAAAAACTGTTAAAGCTAAGCACAATTGATTCTGATTTAAATATTTTAAATCCTTATTCAAATATAAATTACAACATGCCATTAGGGAAGTAATGTGTACCAAAAAAGGTTTGAATCTGGGTGGAACAATACCCGTGCTTGGTTATCCAGATAATTTGTTCCTGCTCATCTCTGATAGAAGTGGTGGTAATAAATCAAGTTTCTGAAAATATTTTCATAATAAAATATAGAAATTATATTATATCTATGACAAATGGATATTTATATATGTTTGGTGGACATCAACCTAATTTCAGTTAATCTGTTTCTGTTACCAAGCAATATAAGTACACTAATTTTGTAAAATACTTTAGAATCTTTCAAAAGAATATGTAGTAGAAGAAGACATTAGTAAAATGAAAGAATGGAGGAGAAAAAAATAAATAAAAATATGTATATATAATGTCGGCATGAAAGCAGAAGTCACTAAATCCAGTTAGTGAATATTTTATAACACTGATTTATACCTGGGGAAAACAGTATATATGGAACAAATGAATTGATCTATTAAATTATATTTAATAGATTCGAGGGTCTGTAAATGCATATTGTTCTCTGAGAAAAGCTCTTAGTCGAAAGTAATGAAGAAATTTTAGATCTCAGTTTCATCTGAGGTTTCATGAGATCCATGGCTAATGCTTTTATAAATATACCATGTTTTTGAGCATCTTATGTTGCTGGGTATGTAAAATATGGCCATTGATTCCTCCATTGTTTAACATTGTATAAAAGGATGCACATTGTCCAACATATTTTTATTCTTGATACTGAAAAGTTTTTTATCATACAGTACATAGTGTCTACATTTCTCTTCATTTGATTATAATCATTAGTGAATCTCAATTTGAATAAAGTAAAAATGATAAAAATACCTACTAGTTATTTAAATTATTTTCATGAAAATGTAAATATTAGGATTGGAAACATTTAGTTGGTCACTTATAAATACAGACATCATTATTTTACAAAACTTGAGGTGAATCTCTACTTATTTTGTCATAAACCTTAAACTGAATTAATATGCTCTTAAAGATTATTAAACAAGGAAGTTTTTCTAAAAGTGGGTTATCTGTAGTATAGTTGGAAGGTTATAAAAAAAATTTGTGAATAATTCATGATTTGTTTGAAAACTGAACTTGGCTTAGTTTTGCCGCTCTCAAGTCCTCTTTAAATGGTTTTAGCTATAACAAACTCTACTTTCATTTAACTCAGGAGCGGGCGTGCTGTTGCAAAGAGTGCAACAGCTGGACAGAATTGCATTTCTTTTACCCTTTCAGGTACATTAGGGCCTTCGCCTCACACATATTCCTTGCAAATACCCTCTGCTACCTGATCATCGAATTCGTATTGGAAAATGTTTGCAAATCCAGTTTGGAAATCAACATGATTTCCATTGGTAAACATCTGCTTGTTGCCATAGAATAAGGTTTAAGGTTTATGACGAAATAATTTGAGATTCACCTCAAGTTTTGTAAAATAATGATGTCCGTATTTATAAGTGACCAACTAAATGTTTCCAATCCTAATATTTACATTTTCATGAAAATAATTTAAATAACTAGTAAGTATTTTTATCATTTTTACTTTCACTTACCTATATATGAAATATGTAGCAAGGGAAAGTATTGCGATCGTGAAAATTTTCGAATCTGAGTTTTAACAGAAATAAACCTTTTGAGGTCCACTGTGTTCAAATAACCAAGTCCCACAAAATGGTATGTGTGTGTGTGTGAACAGCCTAGCTCAAAAACGAAAATTTTACAAATTTAAGGTAGTTATATGCCTGGGAGATTAACCTTGAAAACCCCAGAAGACCTTGACAATGCCGTACATTCCTTCACCACCACCATTCAACAAGCAGTATGGACAGCTTCCTCTCCAAATCATTCTTCAAGAACCCCTAAGAAAAATAGTTTACCCCAACACCTCATAGACTTAATCCACACCAAACGCTGTGCCAGATCATTATGGCAACCAACCAAACACCCCATCGATCGCCGCTCCTACAATTATTATTGTATACTACTAAAGCAAAAATTATCTTCCTTTAGATCCCAATCCTTTGATACCTACCTTACTCCTCTCTCTGTTCACTAAAATTCCCTCTGGAAAACCACCAAAAAAATCCTAAAATCCCATTACATTTCCCACCCCCTTCGTCGATGTGATGACTCCTGGGCACCATCTGATGAAGATAAAGCTGAGGAATTCGCCAGACACCTCTCCATTACATTCACTCCTCATCATGAACCCCATCCAACCCATACTGCAAAAGTAGAAGAATTCCTCTCTTTACCGATTTCACTCTCCTTACCACCTAAAGCAGTTAATCCATCTGAGGTCAAATACCTTTTATACAATATCACTCCTCATAAATCTCCTGGATACGACCTCAACATCTAGGAATAAGTCAAGTTCGTCACAGTGGTTATGCAGTCCATTAGCATTCCATAAAAGGATAATTAGGGGCTTTGTGCTCATCGCGGGAAATTGAACAGAATTTCGTTCAGGATTTTGGTGAGAAGAGTGATAAGTGGTTTTATAGTGTTTTGGAGGTTCAATAGGAAGGATGATAAAATGGAAGTTATGTCAGATGCATGTTGATTGTGATTTGGATTCAGGGTAGGTTCTTGTGGTAGATTAGGAGTGTTAGCTGAGGGTAGGATCCATCTTTGTGCACGAGGTGGGTTTGGATTAGATGGTACTTGGTACTGGAGTTTTTTTTCTGGGTGTTAGGATGAGACTGTTGAAGATACTGTGGTGGTAATTTGACTTGTAATGGTATATAATGAGGGGGAATTAGCTGACGTGGAAGATGAGATTGGGGATTAGGAGAATGAGGTTTGGAGGATTGGATATCTGAGATGCCTGACATTGAGGCTGCTGCTTCTTGGTGGTGGTTTGTGTTTTTCTAGAGTCCTGATGAGGTTGATCAATTTCTTTTGAAGTAGACGGTAGTTGTATATTTTGAGTAGATGTTTTTGACAATTCTGGAAAATTTGACGAATTATCAATTTCAGGTAGATGGGTGAAACTTCTTGCTTCTGTTTTTCGCTTTTTGAGGCTATGTTCTGAGCTCTGTTTATAAAAATGTTTATAAACTTTGCAGCCTTTGTAGTTTGCTGGGTGTTCTTTACCACAAAGGGCACATTTTGATGGCTGGTCTCGAGGTCTCTGACAAGTGTCAGAAGCGTGTGGGCCAGCACATTTTATTAACGGGAACAGGATTATTGGTGTTAGTGGTGGTTGGTGCAGTTGGCTCTGGTGTGATGGTAATTGATTTGCTTCTGGTTTGAGGTGGTGATATATTTTGCTTGGCTGACTGTTTAGTTTTAGTAGATTTATTTTGTTCAGTTGACTTTTTAGATTTATTTTGATCAGCTAACTGTTTAGGTTTAGCTGATTTATTTTATTTCTTGTTGGATAAATTACCTCCTGCCCCAGGATGAGTGTTTCGATGACATTTTGAAGTGTTCGTCTTTTTAAATACTGCGAATCTGTTTAGCTAACTTCAGAAAAGGGCGTTTTGTCCTCCGAATCTTTACTTGAGGAACTCTTATCTATATTCATATTTTCCATATTATGATAAGAGAGAGAAAAAAAATATATACTCCTAACTATGACAATTAGAAAGATTAAAGTTTACGAAATAAATTATTAAAAAATAAACTATATACATAACTATAATCAGAAATAAAACAAAACATTTCTTAGAATAAATAATAAAAATACAAATAATACAGTCTCTGGAAAAAGTAAATATAATGTCTTGGGTTCGAACTGAAGACCTGATGACTGAAGGAACTTAGTAAACAGAGCCCTTGACCGTGAACTTATCGGAATATGATAATCCACGTAAGGGAATTAATGGCCACTCGATCTAACCAAATGAGCACCAATTTATCACTTATTTATTGTTAATAAATAGTACCTCACCTGAGTGTACGTCAACGTAAAAGTGTAAATCTATTTTTTAAGTCACTGTTGATTGAGTCTTACACCGCAACTTTGAATTTTAAGTACTTTACAAAGAAACAAATACAGAGCGACATGGAAGTTATACTGCACTTGCGGCTATTACACTTGCTACTTATTGTAATTCTAAAATAAAAGAATATAACTCTTGCACTGGACTTTCAACACATAGCACCCAACAAAAACACAATTTTCATTTTAACAACACTAAAATACTAATAAGTGAAAAAAAAAAATAGCTTCAAAAGAAAAGTTTTAGAATCCATTTATATTTCCAAAAATTTAGACACATTTTGTAATTTCTAAGCAGATACAAAAGGACTAAACAGCACATATGCCAATATAATTTCGAAATTGAAATTTTAATTAATCAAATGTTTTAATAATAACCCTTAATAAGTGAACAATATAAACAAAGATATAACAATGTGCAACCTTCCCAACCACACTTATAATTTAATCTGATTTTGGACTACCTGCAACAAGCATGATTAAATAAAGTAAGGATGTTTCAATTTTAAAATAATTTATGTCTCTTTATCGTAGCTTGATGTATATGAATTTGAATAAAAAAGCAACCTCATTCTATCTGGTGGTACTGTTAATTTACAAATTAACTGGTAGTGTTAATTATGAATTAAAAAATTGACATAACCTAATTAAGATTATAATTCATAGAATATTAAATTAAATAGGACTAATACCACCATCTTAGAGTGTAGAATTGCATCAGAATATAAAATTAATGGTGTTTATCTTATAGATGGCTTGAAGATATGATGGCTTACTGGCCGAAATGTAGCTATGTAAATTGAAATAAATATGGTGAAGAAATAAAACAAGTACACATGGTTGTAAACTTTTTATATTGTTTTTAATTTTGAAAAAAAATTATATAAAAACTACCGAGTCAAGGCGATGACATTGTTTAAGAAAACTATTCATTGTACTTGTGTGAAAGAAGTGAAATATAAAAATATTTCATGGATGTTTAAAAAAAAACATAGGTTTATAATCTTAAATACATTTACTGTAGTTTAATAGCTTTACATTCGATATCAGATTTAAATAATTAGGTATCTGTCATTCTTTTATTCCAAAAAATTATCATGCAATCTTTTTAATCAGTGAATAATTTGATGAATTTTCCTTTTGTGAAATCACAACATTATCCACTTACAATTAGTGTGACAACTTTTGCTCTATCTTTAGTAGGCAATGAAAATCTCGTAACTATTTTAGTAAACTTCACAATTGAAAATAAGAGTTTAATAACTAATAGTCGTATAATCCATAATCATTTATAGGTTAAATAAGATGTACTTTCAAATTTCTCTAGGCATATATAGTTCAGAGACTGGAGTTTGTGTGATTTACAAAAACAGATGGAGTTATAACATTTTTATTGCCTCCTTTCATTAAAATAAATAGGGTTTATATTACTTCAATGGCCCTAATCAGTTGTTACAGGTTAATTTAAATATATTAAATACTTATAATGATAATAATAAACAATAAACTGCTGAGTCCAGTGGTCCTATTAAGTTTTAGAGAAAAAAAAAATATATAGATTCTAGATAGAATTTTGATTCCTTCAATTTTTCTCGTACAACTTATATTATGGCGTTCTGGTGATAAATATGAAAGGATTTGCTTTGGCTCCTTGGCTTTTAAATTGATTTAAAGAAAATAAATATTTTTCATACAAATAAATTGTGAGGTTTTCAACTTGAACTTTATGTTGCAGAGCCTGAGTCGGAATAACACATTTTTAGCCCTTGGTCAGTCTGTCTTTTAACACGATTATCTACCAAATGGGTGGACCTATTCTGTTCTTCTTTTAACTCATCTTTAGTCTTTTTTTTTCAAAGATGATTAAATTTTCAACAAAACTAAAAAAACAAAAATCTTCCAAATCAATCCGGTTATAGCAATTTTATGCACCAATTTTAAATAAACGTACTCGTTTTGTTCTGTGTATCTACCGATGGCCCAGGTGCTTGTTATACTTTGCTTCAGTTTATCAAAGAAATCATTGATGTACTGTTATGATAATAATAAATATACATTTTTTTATATTTTTATAAATAAATAAATAAATATATATATATATATATATATATATATATATATATATATATATATATATATATATATATATATTGCTATGATAAATGCATACACTGATCATATATTTTTTTTATTCTAGATGTTTATTTGAATGATAACTATTGTCTTTAACACCAAACGCTAAAGTTTAAAATAAAAATTAAATAACAATACATTTTTAAAGCCTATATAAGTGTAGATAAATTTCTTTTTGAGTTTGGCTTGCCACCAAAGACATAACATTTTGTTTGTTTTTTCTTTCAGTTTTCAGAAATAGCCTAACACTTAGATGAAATGAAATAACTGTACCAAGTGTTTGCAATGTTATCATGTTGTCTTCAACTTGCGAATAAAATGATGGTTGTGGATTCTTCTGTGACCTAATTTTATGCAGAAAGATTAATCATTGTCATATATATATAATCTATGTTATGATATAGTTAAAAATAATTTCACGTCGTCCTATTTTAATAAATTTAATCACGTTTTTATATAAAGATGTAACAAAGAAATAATTCTTTAATAATTTTCAAAACACGTCATAGGAATAGTTAAATAACATAAACCATGGGCCTGGGGGAGAGGGGAATCATTTAAGAAAATTCGAAGTATTTGTATTAGAAATATAATATTAATAAAGCAACAAGAAAATATGTAGTGTGTGTGTGTGTGTACACTTGTATACATTTGTAAATTTATGTTTTGTTGACAGAATCAGTTCTAAGTGAATTACGTGTTTGTGTCAGAAGTGATGTAGACATAAAATTTGTAAAGCAGTTACCACAATTAGGATGGAGGTTTCGCAAGCAATCATTTATTGTTTCTTTGAAAAATGTTCCAAAAAAAGAATATATTCTTCATTGGATCCCATTTGGCCCTGACAAATATTTAGATGATGAAGATCTTTGGTCAGTTATTAAGTCATTCACTTCACTGCAGGTATTTATTTGGATTAAGTTCTACAATAATGTGTTTAAATTGTTTCACTCTATTTATTGATTAGTCTGTGATACCATGCAAAAGAATGAGACTTGTTTAAAATAAAAAATAAAAATGTCACGTGTTTGAAACAATGATGTCCTTGAAAAAGAGCTAATAAATAGGCATATCCTATACATACATCCTCCAGAATACAAAATGATGGCCAATCAGATATAAATTCTGTACTTTTTTAATTATAGATTTGTAACTTAAATGTAGTAGTGCTAAAACTTTCCTATTTCAAGAGTTAGAAAACATCAAATTCTAAATTTTAAGTATTGCATGGATTCAAGTACTATTTCCTAGTTAGTTAATGTTATTAATTCATCTCCATAATTTTTGCAGTAACTAATGCTATATTTTGTGTTTTAGTATATTTACTGTTACTTTAATATAATATATAGAAGTGGTGGTAACAGGGAATCTATCAGTTAAAAAAGTCGGGAATATGTCAGGAATTCTGTATAGTTAGGAATTCCCAGTAGATTTTGCTGAAGTCCGCAAAATCATTAGTTCTAAATTTTAATATCTTACTTCAGTTTTCATAAACTGTAGCATAGTTAATTTTGGTTATTTATATTTTATTCTAATTTTTGCTTATTTTTAACATCGGTAGACTATATTTTATAATACTTAATACAACTCGTGCCTTGTCTTTTGCTATCGGATGCGGAACAAATTTAAAATAAACTCGCAATAAATATAAGCTAAAAATTTCTGAAAACTGATCATTAGTGACAAGTCAGTTGATAGTATTCCAACATTCTGTAAGTAACTAATTATGAGATAATGACTAATTCTCCCATGCTTTAATTGATTACATATTTTTATAGCAATAAAAAAATAAAAAAAATTCACTGGACTAAAAATTACTTACTTCCCTACCTGCTTTTCTTAAGCTTGTTCCTATTACCTCCCAGTGTTGGTCCACCTTGAAGTACTCCAAATCCAAGGGTTGATTTGAATCTACGATTTGATATTCACCTGTAAATGTTGTGTAAGTGTGAAGGACTGGGAAAACCAGATTAGGTCCTCTACCATAGTCAAGCATTTATGAAAATTAAGAAAATAAGAATCACTGTAAAGTAAAAAATAACCTAAGTTGTTGGTTGATACATGAAAGTATTGAATTAATGGAGAGACCTGAATGTTTCAGTAAGATAGTCATGCTTTTGAAAATATATGGAAGATATATACAGTTATGCATTTACAGGTAAAACGAAAAGAAAAAAGATGATTTTGAAGCAATAGAATGAGGAGTAACCTAACATGAGAGGGAATTTGAAATTAATGTGACAATGCTGATGCAATGTTTATTTTTATAACTATATGAAAGTTTAAAAAACCTACAGATGTCAGTCTCTCTGGAGAAGTTTCCTTGATTATGTGGAAGAAATATAAGAAACAAGGTAATAAACCATCTGGAGAAGAAAGTTTGTTACTGCCTATCTATTTAGTCTTGGTACATAAGCCTGGGCCTGTCTCTGGGCCATCTTCTCTCTGATTTTATTTCTAGGACCCATTTTGCTTTTCTAGTATCCCCCATATAATGCACATGGCCGAACCATTTTAGTTATTTCTCTTCGAAAATATATTTGACTGCCATTACACTTATGATGTCTTATTTTTTCATTCCTTCATCAATCCCTTCTTTTCGTACTAAGGACTTTTCTAAGGCAGTTATCTTACTCATGTGCTTGTCGAGAACAGTTCAACTGTCTGTTTCTTAATTTTTCTTCTAAAATTGTTGTGCAGAAGGAATATAATAAACTTTTTGCTTTTCTGACTTTATTTAAACTGTCTTGGTCGATTCTTCCTTTGCTTCTAAAAATTGTAACCAGGTATTGGTAGTTATCTACCTTCTCTAGTGGCTTGTTATTGCATATAACGTGAATTAGGTTTTTTATATCTCAGCCGATAAGCTTCACGTTGTTTTTTCAGAGCGTTTATTTCCATCCATTTCCTATGAAGCTTTTCAGAGACAGCTACATGAACCTTCAAAGAACTTGTGGAATTAGGTATTAGGAATTAGGTTCCAGTACCTTACTCACTATTGCTTTAGATACTTTTGGTTTACAAACTTTCCATACATCAACCATAAATAGAATAAAAAGTAGCGGACTTAGGCTATCGACTTGTTTAGCCTTGATGTAAAACATTAATGGCTCCGATACGATTCTGTTTTAATGACATTTTTCTCTTCTGGGAATAGCTCATGTATTAGGTTCTTTATAGTCATTTACACCACATGATATCTGTTTTATATCTTTAAAATTAAAAGTTGCTCTATCTATTAAGTATTTGTTAATTTTGCAGCATGTCAATATTGTCAAAATAGAGAAGGCTGGTGTATGTAGAGGAGGTGGTTGGATTATACAAGATATAAAAGGTGAAACTCTAAAGGATAAATTATTTGAAGTCAAAGATCCTCTTAACACTTCTGCTTTAAAGAAATATGCTAATGAAAGTAAAAAAAAAACTTTATCTGTTAATGAAGTTATAGAAATTTCATCCCAAATTTTACAAGCTATTGCCTTTCTTCATCACAAAGGTATCCCATATGGTAAGTAATTAAAGAAATAATATCATTATATTCTGAATGTTTCCAGGGCCTATTTTTTACTAGGTGGAACTTACCCCGCTAACAGTTTACATTATATTTTTATACTATTGTGTTCAATGAATTATATTGTAGTGCGGAGGGGGAAGGGGAGTTAAAATAGATTGGCTGACAGATGCGCTTCGATTTTTGTTAGAACTGGAAATATCAAAAGGTTTAATCAATCTCACAAATTTTGTTCATAAAAATTGAAAGTTCCTGAATTATATCACTAAAAGGTAATGCACTCTAGTAAAGTTTAAAATTGGGGTGATAAAGTACCCATTCTTGGCTATATTCATTATTTAGTTTTGCTGAATAATTATACAGAAACTATAATGAAATAAATAAACTATAACTAAAACAAATCTGTTTGATGCTAGTTGATGGGTAGAGCGATGTAAAATATACAAACATAGTCTCAGCCCTATTTCAATAACTGCCAGTCATTTGAACCCTTAAAACAAAGTAAATAAGGTAAAAAATAGGAAAGAAAGTAGAAAAAATAATTGAAAAATTGGAAAACGAAAGAGTATATTACTTTAGTTATGAATCGTGAGATTACAACATAAAATTAACTTAAATTATACAAAATTATAATGATATATAAACTATATAAAATTATAATGATATATAAACTATACAAAATTATAATGATCTATAAACTATACAAAAATGAATGATATATATAAGTAAATAATAAAGAAATTTTTCTCAGAAAAAAATGAATTATTTGAGAAAAAACAACAAATTAAATTTATAGTAATATACAATTTGGAATTAATGAATATAATGTAAATGAGAAATTACTTATAATTAAGCTATTTATATTATCTTTCCAAAAACATAAAGAGGTGGTTCTCTCTGGGAAATTTATGGTGAAGCGTCTAACTATGGCGGTGTTCTATTATAAGAGGGTTGATTCCATAATAAATAAATAATAATCAGGTCTGGTTTTACTGTTGGAGATGAATCTTTCCTTAATCCCGCTGGCAGCTAAATAACTTAGAGACACCGACGAAGATACACATCAAAGTAACCACTGGCTTAGGTAAATACTAACAAAGGTAGATACTGACTTTATTAAAGGGAGACGCTCACAAACTATCTAAGCTTCTAGAAAGGCGAGAGAAAAAAGACGGTCGATCTCCATTTATAGGTAGCCAGTGTAGCTCGTAGTGGGGACTACCCTTCATTAGTCCATAAGACAGGTGATTGTTTTTTACATTCAAAATAAACTGTATAAAGTTCTCTCGATTCATATACATATATGTTTTTGTGTAAATTAAACTAATGAAAATACCTTATATTCTTAATTTACTATTTGTAAATTTGTATAAAATAAAAATGAAAATAAAATTAATGGCCTGAACAAATCTTAATATCGATAGTTATCAATCGGTAATGGCCTAAACACTTGTAAAGAATCAGATATATATAAATGGACAAAATAGGTATATGGTTAATTGTTGAAATGATGATGATTGTGGAATAAAAGATATTAAGGGAGCAATATTAGTAGGTAAGTCGTGTAATAGTAAGTTTGGTCATTGGGTCTATTGCTTCTAATTGCCAATTGCCAAATTCCTCCAGTCATATAATTCCTTTTTTATGAATTTCTTAGTTTTCTTAATGAAATTGACAGAGGTGGAGAAGAACATTATGCATCTGAACTCTATCTGAGCCCAAGCAATTGCAGTTTGCTAAATAGGTCATGGCAGATGTAAGCAGTCTTCTCCAACATATATGATAGATCTCTTCATCTGCCATTGTACAAATATTAGTTTTTTTTAATGACCTATTACTACTCCTATCATCAATTCAAACTTTGTTGTCAATTTCTTGATTAATCTTTATGTTTTATAAATAAACGATCCACTCATAAACTGATTCAAAGAGCTTTTAATAAAGTGAATTATCAATGACTCTGATAAAGAAAAAAAAAATAGCTTAGTGAATTGAATCAGGGAACATCTCGGGTGATTCAATTTTTGTTATGCTATGAGGTAGTTAGTTCATCCCTCAGAGAATGAAAAATATCTTTCTCTATATACAGTATTATTATGGCTACCTTGTATAGGGTGGACTGTCTGGAAGGCTTAAGATCAGATTGAGAAGACTGGTGAATTGCTTCATCAAATTAATCTTTAGAACTCCCAGGCTGCTCCCACGTCTCCAGTTGGTGTGCCGAGTTGAAGTGGCTGTATCTAGTTTTCCAACGGCAATATCTTCTAAGTATTTTCCTTTTCTGAACCTTGCTCCTCATTTCATTGGTTCAGCACAAGATCCCAGCCCACAAACCTTTTTATTTCTTCTCATAGAACTGTTTCATTAAAAAAAATCCTTTCTCATACGTGCTACCTTGTTCTGGAATTCCCTACCTACTTCCGTACGCAAATTATTCTCTTCCTTAATCTCATTTAAACACCATTTATTTTTCCATCTTCTTATCAATCAATCTTCCGAATAAATGTAAGAATAATATTTTTGTGTTTTAGAGATGTCAAGCTCATTATGCCATTATCTTATTGATACCTATATATTATCTATTCTTTATATGTGAACATGCTCATATGTTGTAACATTCCCTTTGTCAACATAATCAAACAACGAGTTTCCTTTTTCAATATATTATTTATTTTACACATATAACATAAATCTCAGGTTGGGTTCTGACAACTGAACACTCATTCAACATTAAATAACTATAATTTACTAATTACTAAATACATGTAAAGAAACTAGATACATACATTAAGAAATTATACATATAAAATTTAATATTGTTTTCAAAAACCTTGATTGTCCTAGTCTAAACTTTGTGGCTCTATCCCTGAATGTTCCGGCTAGGACTCCTTTTTCTATTTTCTCAGCTTGCTGGCTAGCACCTACTCTCTTGACAGCTTGTCACCTTCTCTCTTGGCCGCTATCACCTTCTCTCCTGGCGGCCCGTCACATTCTGAGTTACATGAGGCTTGCTTCCCCCACTTCCTCCCCGTAGTTCGTGCCGTTACCACCCTCGCGCAACTATTCAAATGCCATGTAATGTTGACATTACAATATATATATCTATCTATAATTCAAATGTTAACTTGTTCCTTTCTATCATTTTGATTTCAAGGCCCGATAACCATGTAATTTAATTAATTCTGGATCATCTTTTTATGTCAAACTAATGTCACCAAATTGTTCATTGTTATTCCAAATTTTTCATTGTTATTCTTAGGGAACTAATGTCTCAGAATAAAATTTACTTTTTTTTCTTTCTTTCTTTCTTTCGATTAGGTCTAGTTTACCTTTACTAGTTAGGATTAAGTACAACATAATACAATTGACAACTGAATACAAACCATAACTCCCTCCGCTAGTTTATGAATATCCTTCATAGTTAACTAACGCTAGGGTAACATAAAATAACAATGACCTATACGAAATAACATAGAAAGAAAACAAAACAACTTATTACAATAACAGAAAATCTTGACATCTTGGTGGTTCCTGTAATAAAATCATATAAAATACACTAAGAATAAAAAATAAAATAGAACTTGATATCTCACCTTAAAAAACAGAAACAACAAAAACAAATAAATTATCTGGTATCTTAATTCTCTATTAATATATTATATTATTTATATATATATTTATATATATCACGTACTCCCATTACCAATACATGATTTCCTACAGTCCACCGCTATCGTGATAAAAACCTTCTCCTTTCCGGTTACTCTTGCATCAGCGTATTGCCCTCCTAACCGATCCATATCCAATGCCCAATTCAGTTCTCTCCTCGACTCCTTAGGACATCACTTCATCTTGGGTGCAGACCTAAATGCCAAGCACCAACAATGGGGTTCCAGAACCACGAATTCTCGTGGCCGAACCCTGCTGTCTGCACTCAATTCCCAACGTTTTCACCTCCTTTCCCCCAACTCTCCTACCTACTGGCCCACAGATCCCAACCGTAATCCTGATCTTCTTGATTTCTTTATCCACAGCGGCTTAAGTCCCCTCAATTGTTCCATTACACGTCTAAATGAACTTTCCTCTGACCATAGTCCTCTAATCCTTAATGTTTCACTTGAACCTGTTCCCAAACCTTCTCCACCGTCATTCATTAGGGGCCCAGTAAACTGGGACCTTTTCCGCCAAATAATCTCCGATAATATTGATCTCAACATATCCCTCAAAACTCCCGATGACCTTGATAGTGCCGTAAATTCCTTTACTACCACAATCCAACAAGCCGCCTGGACTGCCTCCTTCCCAAAAGACTCCTCCAGAATTCCTATAAAGACCATTCTACCCCAACACCTCCTTAACCTAATCCGCACCAAACGCCGTGCCAGATTATTATGGCAACGTACCCGACATCCTACCGACCGCTGCTCCTATAATTACTACTGCAAACAATTAAAACTGGAATTAGCCACCTTCAGATCACAATCCTTCAACTCCTACCTATCCTCCCTCTCTTCTCGCGACAATTCCCTTTGGAAAACCACAACAAAAATCCTAAATCCTCACCGCATTTCCCATCCTCTCCGACGAGGTGATGGCTCCTGGGCAGCATCTGACGAAGATAAAGCTGAGGAGTTCGCCATTCACCTATCCAATACATGTATTTCACATCCGGAATCCCATCCTGCCCACACCGTAACAGTAGAAGAACTCCCACTTTCCTTGTCTCCAAAAGCTATTCATCCTTCCGAAGCAAAATTTCAATTAAAAAAACTAATCTCCCGTAAAGCTCCTGGACATGATCTCCTTACACCTCAAATCCTTCGACAACTTCCATCCAAAGCAGTCATATTCCTTACATATATCTACAATTGTATCCTACGCACCACCCACTTCCCTCTGTTATGGAAACACTCCACTATTATCCTTTTCCCAAAACCAGGAAAACCTCTCAATAGCTCAACATCCTATAGACCAATCAGCCTACTCCCAATCCTTTC